TCCCCAAGTCAGCCGCTGCTGAAACTGATCAGCGGCTGATTCCAGGAAGCCCGGGGCAGAGCAACTCTGCCTCGGGCTTCCTGTAATCAGCCGCTGATCAGTTTAAGCAGCGGCTGACTTGGGGACGCCTGGAGAAGAGCAGCTGAGGTGCTGCCCGGTTGGTCCAGTAGCGCTGAGGAGCGGCGCTGCAGGACCAACCCAGCAGCCCCAGCTGCTCTACCGCAGGCGAGAAAAGCCTGGTCTGCTGGGGTGCGCACTAGCCCACATGCTCATGCATCAATATTATCAGAAGTTGAAGCCTGATGTAGATTAGCAGCCTGCTGTGCTCTGTCTAGTTTCTCCCGTCCACAAAATGTATCTCTTAACAACTTGAAACTATTATTTTTAAATTTATTTAATCAGTTTCTGAGTGGGGAAAAAAGTATCATGGCAACCTTACAGGCTAACAGATTTATTAGGGCATAGTGTTTATGGGTAAAACCCACTTCATTGGAGGAATTAGAGTGGAAATGACAGTCAGGTGTATACATGGAGAATAGTGATCTGTTAAATAATTTCATTTTAAATTATTAGTATTTTATGTGATTAGTTTCTACATTAGAGAGCCCAAACCTGGAAAATGGGGATAATACAATGGCATTAACTTTCACACCATTGCATCTGTACTGAGAGTGGACAGTTGTCATCTATCTATTGCCTAGCCTCTGTGGTACATCTAGGTACATAAATAGATGTGTGAAATAGACAAATGTTACTTAAGGTACGTCTACACAGCAGGTCTTAACTCAAAATAAGCTACGCAAATTTAGCTACATCAATTGAGTAGCTTATTTTGAAATTGGGAGCATCTACACAGCACATATTTCAAAATAGAGCACTCTTCCTCTATCATCTCTTACTCCTCATACAATGAGGGTTACAAGAGTCAGAGTAAGAAGTCCTTCAGATTGCTAGTATTTCAACATTATTTTGAAATAACTTCCTTTTGTGTAGATGCAGACTAAGTTATTTAGAAATAACGATAATTATTTTGAAATAATGTTGGTGTGTAGATGTACCCTCAGTGACTTTCCTGAGATCTCATTTCCACTACAGCATGGTCTGAATATTCACCTGTTGTGGAAAATTCAGAAAGTGGATCCATTATGCCAGGTAGAGTAATAATGTATATCGTGATAAAGTGACTTTTTGTACTTTTCTTCTAGGAAAGACAAGCAACTGTGAAAAAGGAGAAAAGCTGCTCCCAACAAATCAACAAATTGGGAGAAAGGACCAAGATGCAAAGAGCAAATTCTGTTACTGTAGATGGACAAGGTCTTCAGGTGTGATTCTTGTAGTTGTGGGGTTTTATTTTTATACGGATATTTATAGATTAAGAGAAGACCACACATTGAGCAACCTTAAAAAAGGAACCATTTCCCACAATACAGTATGAATATTTCTAGTACTTCTAAGTATTGGAAAAAACTACAGCCACATTAGTTTCACTTCAATTGTATGCAAAGTATTAGAACAAATTTTGAAAGAGAAAGTATTTAAGGACGTAGAAATAAAGGGTAATTGGGATAAAATATAATATGGTTTTACAAACGGTAGGTCATATCAGATCAATCTAATCTCTGTTTTTGAGATGATACCTGCTTTTTTTAGAGAAAGGAAATGCATTAGATCTAATCTACTTGGTTTTCTAGTAAGGTGTTTGATACGGTTATATATGGAAAATTATTAGTTAAATTGAAAAAAGTAGAGAGAAACACACTGGAAAGATAAATAAAGAACTGGTTGAAGGGGACACAATAATGGATCATTGTGAAAGGAGAACTGTCAGACTGTGGACAACATTTTTGGAAACAGGCTTATTTAACACTTTCATTAACACAAAAAGTTGAGCTTGCTAGTAAAATTTTCAGATGTCACAAACCTGAGAGGTATTGCCAATATAGAGAAGAATGAGAACATTACACATGTTGATTTAAATGTCATCCAAAACTGAAGTAATAGAAGTGGGATTAGAATTTAATAGTGCAAAATGCAAGCTCGTATTTAAAGACTAACAAAAATAATATTTTCTACAAGGTGCAGAAGTGTTAGAGAGGAGAAAGACCTGGTTAATCACAGGATGACTATGAACTGCCAATATGTTGTGGCCATGAAAAAGGACTAATGCAGTCCTAGAATGTGTCTGGGGAAGTATGTCCAGTAGTGAAAGAGAGAGATTATTACCATTGGGCAAGTCCCTGGTGTAGCCTCATCTGGAATAGTATGTGCAGTTCTGGTCCCCACCTTGTGGGGGAAATTAAGGAGTTTGTTTTGTTTAGTCTAAGAAAACAAAGGATATGGGGGAAATATACATGCTTTCTAGAACTACACCAGGAAGGGAGAGGAGTCATGTAAGTTAAAGGCCAACATTGACTCAAAAGCAAACGGATATAAACTAGCCATTAATATGTTAAGGAACTAGTAGGACAGGGCTCTGAGTTAATACATAGAATTCTTTCCCAAGTTTCTGACTGGGTCCCACCCTCCTCCTAAGGATCTAACTGATCAACATATTTGGAGTTGGGAAGGAATTTTTCCCCAGATCAGATTAGCAGAGACCCTAGGAGTCAGTCTTTCACCTTGCTCTGCAGCATGCTGTCTTGAACTAGAGTAAATGATGCACTCTCTATAACTTGAAATTAATAAATCAAGATTTGATGACTTCAGTAACTGAGCCATAGGTTCTGGCTCCTACAGAATGGATTGGTGAGGTTCTGTGGTCTGTGATGTGCAGAAGATAGGACTAGATGATCATGATAGTCTTTTTGGTTGTAAACTCTATGGCTGTGTCTAGACTGGCAAGTTTTTCCGCAAAAGCAATTGCTTTTGCGGAAAAACTTGCCAGCTGTCTACACTGGCTGCTTGAATTTCTGCAAGAACACTGACGATCTCATGTAAGAAATCAGTGCTTCTTGAGGAAATACTATGCTGCTCCCGTTCGGGCAAAAGTCCTTTTGCGCAAAAGCTTTTGCTCAAAAGGGCCAGTGTAGACAGCTCAGATTTGTTTTGCACAAAAAAGCCCCGATCGTGAACATGGCGATTGGGGCTTTTTTGCGCAAAATCACGTCTAGATTGGCACGGACGCTTTTCTGCAAAAAGTGGTTTTTGCGGAAAAGCATCCGTGCCAATCTAGACGCTCTTTTCCGCAAATGCTTTTAACTGAAAACTTTTCCGTTAAAAGCACTTGCGGAAAATCATGCCAGTCTAGACGTAGCCTATGGGTCTATGAGATCCTCCACATCTGTGAGGGTTTTAGGGTTTTTTTATTTTATTTTATAGTTCTTCCTAACAAAGTTTTTATAAGGACTCTGATTCAGTTAACAAATTGAATAAATATAGTACATTATCCATTCATGTCGGTATCCTAATTTTCTACATAAAGACACCCTGATGCTAATTTTGTGTGGCTGGGAAATTAAGGTTAATGTGTATTTTTAACTACTTCATTATATAATAAGATAACAAATGCTTATACTTAGTTGGATCAATATTAATCCAAGACAATTTTTTTATTTTATTTAATGTTGCCATCTCCCTTTCAACTATGGAAACTGCCATGGGTAATTTAATTCAAAACAGGTGTTCAAGCAGTTTAATTTGGAATGCAAATATTTGGATCAGAAAACTTAATATTTGGCACTTATTTAGTGTTTTATAGTCTCAAAACACTATGTAAACATTAACAGATCCTCACAAAATTTCTGCGAGATTATTAGTATGGTCCTCATTTTAAAGATATATCTGGTCTTCTCCTATTGAAAATAGTGGCAAGATTTTTATTACATGATCGGGCTCAGATAATTTAAATGTAACTTCAAGAATGCCTTCTTTAAATTAAATTAAGGCATGAAAACGTTCACTAATTTAGTCTACATCTCAGGTTGCATTTTGAATTATCTGGAAATGTCTACATTATTTAGAAAAGTCATTTAGAAAAGCTGTAAGAAATTAATTGAAAGAGACCTTATTTTTGCAGATGGAACAGAATAGAAATTGATTATTAGGCTATTTGTATAGTTCAAGAACTTTTACTTGTGATATAGTTGGACTTCGAATTATAAAAGCTAGGAAAGGGAAATAATTGCATCTGAGTTATTTTGTTTGTTTAGAAAAGTATCAAGAAATAATACAGTCACAGAAGAATGTGCAGGTAACTCACTGGCATTGGAGATCTGTACTACTTAGAGAAGACTATTAATCATAGTTAAGCACATTAATCTTACTTCTTTCTAGCTAACCAGCATAATGATCAGGATTATTATTTCTAATTAGAGGAAGTAATAGATCATGTGTAACCTTAGGATGAGTCTCATTAATTAACCTGAGTCCTAAAGGATTTAAGATAGGTAGTCCATCTTTGTCACAGTGAGTATCATTGGTTTACACTTAGTTCACAGGAACAAACATCATCGGAATTGTACTAATCAGCCAAAATTGATTAAAATTATAGATAAGAATTAAATATATGACAATCTTCAATATATCCTGCAATTTTATAACTAATGTATACTGCTACACAAACACCCAAATCATATTCTGTGTAGATATATTGGGCCTGATTCTGATGTATTGCTTTTACATTTGGATAACTCCATTGACTTCAGTGGAATTACTCTAAATTTATCCTGGTGTGAATTAGATCAGAATCAGACCCACTCTGTCTACAATTATAAGTGGCACTGGTAATGCCTTCTCTAGCAAAGGTTGCCTAATATTACATTTTAAGATCTTTTTTTCAGTTACTCGTTGCATTACTAAACTTTAACTGAAATTTTCTATGGTGTATATCTGTCCTAGAAATATTTTCACTGAAGAGGCTTTGCCATTTCAGAGAAAGATTAAGGAGAAATACATTATTTTGCCAATGTTAAAATAAAAGGTATAGTCATTTCATTGAGAGACACTAGTACCTCCATGCTTTGGTGGCAGGATTTGGATTTTGGTAGAGAACTTGAACTTTTGTTAGTATTTGCTTTTTGCTATCTCCATCAAACAATCAAGATAATTTGGCTATTTTATAAATCAAACTCAGTGGAGATTTGCTGAAGTTTAGCAGATAAACTTCCTGAAGATTCCATCTTTGCTGAATATGCTTCAGCCCAGAGCTAGAAGAGCTGAACAGGACTTTGCTGCTGGGATGAGGCACAACAGTTGAGAGCAGGGACAATCTTAATTCTGCCTTTTTTTAACTTTTGCGCATACAACATTACAACATTAGTGTGCTTTTAAGATGTTTTTGAATGTAATGTTTGAATAAGATGGTATTGAGAACTGTAATGTAAAACTGTTGCTTAACTAATGAAAAGGGATACAAGATAAGATCCTCAGCTGAATATTTTCATAAATTTATGTCCATCAAGCCATGATAATTTACATCAGTTGAGGACATGAAAGATCATATCTGAAAGTGCAGAGGCAGTATATTTTCTACTAAGGTGGTGATAATTTTGCTTGTAAGCTAAAAACTGACATCAATATCTCATGTTTAAGGCTCTGTTTAAGCCATGGATATTTTTAGTAAAAGTCATGGACAGGTCACAGACTGTAAACAAACTTTCACAGACCCAGGACTTGTCCATGACTTTTACTATATACCACTGACTAAATCTTGGGTGCAAGACCCAGGGATTCCATAGCTTCTTGTGGGGGCAGGGACACTACAGCTTCTGGGGCGGAGGGGGGGGTAGCCTGAAAGTGTCACGAGTGCTTGTAGGGAAGGGAGGTGGCCAGGGGTTCCAGCTGGTGCTCAGGAGTGGGATTGGCAGGACTGGGAAGCTCCTTACCCAGCTTCTCATAACCCCTAGGAAGTGGTGACATGTCCCTCCATTAGCTCCTAGCTCTCCACATTGCCTCTCTTCCCCATGTGCCAACTCCGCAGGTCCTATTGATGGGGAACTATAGCCAATGGGAACTGCAGGGGTGATGCCTGCAAATGGAGGCAGTGCACAGAGCAAAGAGCTGAAGGAGGGAAATGTCACCACTTTTGGGGAGTCCCCTAAGGTAAGCACCACCCAGAGCTCCTTACCCCCTCCCTCACCCAGCCTTGAGTGCCCTCCGACAGCCAAACTTCTGCTGCAGCTGGGGGAGAGGGGTGCAGTGCCCAGTGGCCATAGAAGGGGTGGACAATCATTTTTGAAGGGGGGGGGGCACTTTTCAAATTTTGGGTGGAAGGAGTGGGGCCAGGAGCCTTCTCGTGCTGTCCCTCCCACACGCCCTGATTGGCCTGGCGGTGGTGGAGTGCGTGAAGTGTTTTCCCTGCTACCTCCACCTGCCAAGGGCACGTAGTGCCTAGTGAGAACTGACAGCTGTTTTGAGCATCTGGCAGTTCCCTCTGGTGTCACGCACCCCTGACGTCATGCACCCCTGGCAGGGGGGAGGAGATTTTGTGTGTTCCCCCATCCCCATCTTTGGCCAGTGGGCAGGAGAGCAGCAGGGCAGCCGCAGACTAGATCAACTGGTTTGGAGGGCCAGATTCAGCCCGTGGATGCTGTCTTGCCCAACCCTGGGCCAGACACTGTCCCATGTGCAGCTGGTGCAGCTCGCCAACTACATCAGCCACTGCAAAAGTCACGGTGCTCCTAGAAAATCATGGAATCTGTGATTTCCATGAGAAACTTTCAGCCTTAATTATATTACGTCCCCAATTGAGGGGAGGGCAAGCAGATGGAAAACATCAACTTCTTCAATATCAGTATTTCTGTCTTTGACTGGTACTGATTGCTACATTTTTTTTTAAAAAAAGCATGGTTTTAGGTCATTTTAATTAGTTAAGGTTAGTGACAAAAATACTGATCATTTTGTGAGATCATCTTTAGATTCAACATTTCACACAGTTTTGGTTCTTACACACCTGGAGATTTGGCTGAAAATATATACCCTAAAGAATTGGGAAAATTAGTTTTATTTTTTTAAAACCCTCTTTTTCTTTGAGACGGTGTGTTTATTGCTTTTGTGCTGTGGGATATAACTTCTCTTTCAGATCTAAATCATTCATTTCTTGTATCAGCAGATGTGCACATTCTTTGTCTAGGTATACACTTTATATGTGCCAATGCTGAATTGATTTCAGTCGAACTTATATTTAAAATGGCAGCACAGCAGTACAGAGAGAGAATAATAAATTACACAATTTGTTAAAGTCAAAAGGGCATTATTGCAAATAGTGGAATTATTTCACCTGGATTACAATTACAGGAACACAGCCTGAGTTTGCATTAAGCTTGTTGCTTTCTGTCTACTGTAGTATAAATTGAAGGCAACACAGAACATTAATTAATACATGTGTTATTTTCTATTTTTAGATTACTCCGGTTCCAGGAACTCATCCGCTTTTAGTTTTTGTCAACCCCAAAAGTGGTGGGAAACAAGGAGAAAGGTATGTTTTTTTCTTTTGTTATTTTGAAGGTGTATTGATCTTTCTGATATGTTGATCTTTTTATCAAAATGCAATTGAAAACCTGAATAAGAGATCTAAAGAAACTAGTTTGAGTGACATTTGGAGTAGAGGTTAACAATGTGATGCATTAGATTTGGACATCATTACTATCCTTTTTAGCAGATTGTTAGTACTGTAGTTAGTGATAAGAGTGAGTTCTCTGCAACATTTTCACTTCAAAACTCCAAATATTAATCAAAACCAGTGATTTACGTATAGGATTTAATTTGAGCTTTCATCTCTTCTACTAATTATTTTAATAATTTTCTTTATAATTCCCATAATAGTTAACCAGTTATGCTATTGTTATATTCAAAGCAATAGACAAGCTTTTTGTTCTGATGTAAATGTACCCTTGTACTCTACCTGTATAATGAACAATAAGAAACAATGGTCCAGTATTATAAGGACTACAAAATTGATGGATTAGAATGAATGGGTTAAAAGTATTGAGTCCTGATCCTGCAAATGGTTATGTATGCGCTTAACTTTATATATGTCAATAGTCACATTGGTTTTAATGGGATGATTCATGTGTGTTAAGTTAAGCATGTGTGTAAGCATAACTTAGTCATGTCACTACCCCAACAAAGCCATGATGGCAAGGGTGTCCCTTCCAATCTCCAACTTATTTTCCAAAGCTGTGTCTGCTGGGTCCTGTAAAGCAGCAAGTTTGACAGTTAACTCACAGGACAATGGATGGAGCAGCTGAGTCCTCATGAAATTATTAATGTCAAGATGCTTGCAAACTCTCATAGAAATCACTGTCTCTGTTACTCTGAAGTTATATTTTCAAGATTTATTTCAGTCACAAGTGCTAGAAATATCATTTTATTTTCAACTAAAGCTGAGATTATAGTGTCATTGTTCAACTTCAGGAGTCAGTATGGTGCTTGTAGAGTCAATGTCTAAATCTGGCCTTGACACCCTCAGAAGGCTAGGTTTCAGTCTTCTAGTCAGATGCTAAATAAAGCATTCTTGGGCACTGCTGCCATTTTTATGTCCAAAAGCATCAAAGGAACAATAGCACCCCCAAGTTGTTAGTCAAGGGAAGAAGTAAATATGATCTGTCATTTCTCTCCACTCGCCCTTGCTCCCAGAACATTAACATTACCTTAATTTGGCCTATTTCAGTCATTCCCCAGTGAGGGCTAGACACTGAGAAGGCTGATCAGTTGTTCTTTCTGGATCTAATCAAATGGTGATGCAGAATGGTATCTGTATTCTAAGACACAACAGCCCATTTAATTCATCATGTCTCTCCTAATTCCTATTGGGGAAGGGGGACAGAACAGAACCACTGGAGAGATTATTAGAGTAAAAATGTAATTGTCTACAACTACCATCTAAGTGTGCTCCAGGGAAAAGAAAAATTAGGCAACTTTAGTGAAATAGCTAGTCACAGGCATAACCCATACAAATGTTAACAACAATAATTTATGGCTTCTTGTTTCAAAGGAGGGTAATTGATTGCAAATAACCAGCATGAAATCTTCCCAGTCAATCATCATAAAGGCTTGATTTCAGTCCCAAGAAAGTCAACCCAACCCAACCTAGCAGTCTGCCTCAACAGGCTATGTGTAGTGGTGCTACCTACCACTCTGCCTCCTGATTCTGCCTGAAAAACCTTTCCCTCAACCCCATTCACAAGGCTGGGTGCCCTTATTCTCCTCCTGTACATATAAAAGCAAATTCTTTGAACAGAACTGTCAGCATAATTATGTTGTTTACTTTTGTGCATATCAAACGGGCAGAGAAATTTTTAAATTCCATTTCCCAGTCATGAGCATACCACTCACATTGTTTCAGCCAGTTACAGTTTAGCATGAAGGGAAATATTTACAGGCAATTTCTTCCTTCTCCTTGGTGGACATATGAACTGAAATTAATAATTCATGAGTTCTGGCTTTTGCACAAAGAGTAACATATATAAATATGTAATTTATTAAAATCTGAGTATTCTAATAGAAAGCAGCATGTGTGGGCTGATGCTGACTTGAGCATATACTTTCCCAGCCAGTAGATATGTTCAAGTAAGAGGGCAGTGATAAGAATATTCTCTAGTTTGCACTCTCCATGTTACAATGTGATAGGGTGAAGATTATTAGTGTGGTGGAAATATTGAGTACGAATATCACTTGACACACTGTGAACTGTACAGATAGTAGTTAAAATCAGCATTACCAAAATCATTCAGTAATGAGTCTTGACCCCAAATAGCTAATGTATGAACATTTAGAGAGCATCGGTGATATGCCCTAACCAGCAGGCTGAAGGGTCAGTGTCTCCTAGTCCATGGTCTAATTAATATTTAATTAGTTAATTAAGTAGTACAGGTCTAACAGCAAACATTGAAAGAGTGATTGACTGCTGGGTTCTAACTGGACTACTGCCTATGCTAGGTCGGTGCTCTCTTAGGAGCAATTCTGTCCGTCAGAGAGTAGTGCCACATATGTACATCAGCCATCAAATTAAAAGTGCAATATTTTGCCTTCTCATGAATAAGAGACTGTACTCCTTTATAGATAATGTTTGTGAAATGATAGACAGCATTTTAAAATCCACCTGTCACATGTCTAGGTTAGTAAACATAATGATAATTCAGAGTAGTCTACGCCTCTGCAAAATGAAGCCAGTAACACACATTGGCCTTTCTCTCGTGACTGGCACCAAGGCAGTAGTAATGTGAGTGAATGAGAGTGGGTGAGGTGATTTTTCAAGGGACTGACAAGCATTGATAACATATCAGTAATTTGAAGAAATTCTTAAAATATGGTCATCTTTACATGACTATATTGAAGAGGTTTATTTATATATAGCTTTTCCCTCTCCTACCCAGTAAATTATACATTTATTACAAAAAAGTACATCAAGATTATGTACAGGCAATTTTGCTTTTTTCTAATTTGAAATCATTCAAACATCGTAAGTTCAAAAGTTCAGTTCAGATGTTATTAGATTCCCATTTTGCTTAGGGGAACATCTGTGGATAAAGGAGCAGAGAGGAAAAATCTAATGGAAAAATAAGATGAAAATGGTACAGAGTGGGGAAAAAAATACTAAACAGAGACCTTTAAAAAGAAGTAGATAAAGAAGCGAGACTACAGTGAACAAATTAATACAGTATTAAAAATGTGTTATTCAAAAATGTAAATTATTCTGTGGAAATATACGTTTAAATTACAAGTAGGAAAGGCTTTATGAACTCAGATTAGTATGATAGATTCTAGTCACTGTGGCAGAGGGTGACTCCATAAGGTCTTTGCTCATTCCTGAGTGAGAAGTGGAAAAGAATGACAAGGAAACAATTTTATCTGTTGTTGTCATTACTAGGAATTATATAAACAATCAATATTGTGAAACAAAACATGTATCCTATTTTTAGGAGACCGACAATCTTAATTTTTAACAAACAATGATTGTTATTTGTTATGGATTTATTTATTATCATCATTCTTAAAACCCCTAATCATGAACAGACACAGAACAAAAAGATGGTGCCAGTCCTAAAGAGCTTACAATAAAAAAATGTGTTGCTAACTTTTTGAAATTTGTTTTATCTGAATAAATATTCTTGTGGCTATTTTTGTTATGGGATATGAAAAAAAATTGTGTAAATATATCAGAAAGTCCTATTCTGACATTGACATTAGTAGAAAATATGCTTAGTTTTAACTAAGTCCATATTTTTAAGTCTCTTCATGACTGCCTAATAAATCTCTGGTCTGCTTTCCTCCTACCCTGTTGCTCTCTGTGTACCCTCTTCTCAGCAATGTTATTTTAATGTTGTCTCTTAATAATGACTCCATACCCTTTTTAAATGCTCATTCCTATTTCTGGATCAGCCTGCCCTATCAGGTGCTCCCCATATTTTAAATTAACTATCTGAACATAGCAGTTCAAGTGCTTACAATCCAAAATCACCATATATAAAACACTGGGTAAAATAAAAATAATTTTGTAATTTTTTATGGGTAAAAACACAGCTACTTTGCCATTTGATTGCACCATCAAATCAAATAGTCAGGTGTCTAAATGCTAGTATTTGCATCCACAATCAATTATTCCTGTAATTTTGTGCCAATAATTGCAAGTATAAATAATTATTCTAAAATGTGATGCTTTTTTTTTTTTTTTTGCTCATCCCTTGTTTTGTCACCATACCTCTCCTGACAACTTTGCTCACCTGTTGTTTTTATAGTCTGTATTTGACTATACGGCAAGAACCTTAACTTTCTGCTATATCTGCAAATCTCTGTGCACATCTACAGAGCTATCTACATTGTAACAGAAACAATCATATATTTGATTTGAGTTATTGCCAGAATGTGAGATTTTATCTTTAATTGTTAAATGTATTAAGGTACAACATATACTAACTCCTAAAATTCTTCTATCCAAATTTTCCATTTGTTTTGTTTTGTTTTTTAAAATATGAAAGCATAATTTACTTGTTTTAAAAATTAGTAAACACTTTTCTTCTAACTTTTTTGCTTCTGCAGAATTTACAGAAAATTTCAGTACCTTTTAAATCCTCGTCAAGTTTACAGTCTTGCTGGAAATGGACCAATGCCAGGGTAAGTCAAAGGCTAATAGCATTACCAGGAACTCATTTAATAAAATACTGCATAATTAAATAAGCAGTCTGATATACTTATATGGTATATTTTGAATGTGTCAACAGCATATATTTGTATATTAACAGTAGAAATGACACCTTATATGAGTATGTATTTATATAAAACTACACATCATATAAGTGGTATTGATAGCCCACTGAACAGTGTTGAATCTACACTCTGCATCCTCCCCAGGACTACCTTCCATGTTTAATATATCTGAGAAACTTCAAAGAGTCACTTGTCATAGAAATGTTTCCTTCTGGCTCCTAACTATGGCATATTTTCCCCCAAAAAGTGACACTGACCCTAAGGCAGCTACTCATTTCGTAGTTCCTGGGACCACCAGGGGTCAAACATGGTGCTTAAAATAAACAACCTTAGGGTTTAGGTTATGCTGGGTACAGCATTCCCACTGATACGCCACTCCACCCCCAGTATGTCCCTTCCTTGCTTCTTCCATTTATAACAGGCTCCCAAAGGAAGGAGAAAAATGGGTAGCAAACGACCAACTACATTTAGAAGAATGGTATGGTTAAGAGTTTCTGACATTGCTGCTAACGTTATGAAGGCTAACTATACAGAGCTTGAATCTCTTTTTATACCAGTTTAAATACGGTGTAAATCCATTAATATCATTGCAGTTTTATATTGCTGTATAATTGGTGCAAGTGAGGACATGTCAAATTTGCTATTTTAAACATTTGGATTTTCAAGATGTATTACATTGTGTTTTCTCTATGTCTTCAAGGGAAACAGAAATTTAAAATATGTGAAATGAAGAAAATATAGTGAAGGAACTTGAAACAATGGGACCTATGATATTTTTTTTTCTTGCCTATGATATTCTCCTGCATCTCATGTGATGGCAGGTTTTGCATTTTTGCTTTTAATGCTTTGAGGGCTGCATGTGAGCATGTGTGCGTGCGTGCACGTGTTTCATTAACCTACCTTGGAGCGTTGACCAAACATGAATTAATAGATTGGGAAATTATAGCATGTTGTATCAGAGGTTATTCCTAAATCTTACAAGGGCATAAGGAGCACCCTGTACCATTCTCAGAACTGCATGATCATGCAGACCATATGCTTCAGATTGAGTTCCAACTTAACAAATTTTAAACCTACTGAAATAGCTATCTTCAAACTTAATTTATTTTGTTAATATAATTGAGACTTAAATCAAACCAAATCTAGAGCCTCTGTGTACTGTAGAGTAATTGTAGTTTATATTTTACTTTGTAACATTGTCAGATAATTTGTGATATCAGCACAAGAGGGCAGTATTAAATGCAGACTCACAGCTCTAAACTGAGAGTTTCAAATTTAAACACCATCTCTCTTTGAAAAATAACAGTGGATTTTTAGGGGTTTTTTTACAAACTTTCTCTTCTAATGAGAAACTAACTGTTTTACTCAGTGTTTCTTTGAAGGAATTTCTAATCCATTTTCAAATAGACATTGCATTTTATTAATTAATATTTTTTAAAACATTTATTCTATAGAAATGAATAATCATATGTTTCCAGGTATCTTTTACCAACTTTTTTGCATCAGGCAATAGTGTGTAGACTATATGTATAATCTGTCCCTTTTACAGGTTGTATGAAACTCCAGACAGTTGAATAAACCCATTTTCAGACTCCTTTCCCCATTTTTTGTTTGTAGGCATTTTATTAAACATAAACCAATTATATTAGATTGTCAGTCAAAGCTTTACACTTATTAAATTTCAACCACATATTTCATTTCAAGTAATGGGAAATATGGACAGAAGTATACACAATGAAGAATACACTTCCTACCACTATTACTAAATATGAAAGCTCTGTATAAATACAATATAAATATTAATTTAAAATTATTTATTCACACTTTTCATGATCACCATTTTTTTTAATCTCTTGGGACTATTTTACTGAGCATTGCATTTCACTTCAGATACATTTACTATACATCTGTAATGTTTCTATTATTACTGTGCACTTTAGTTGTTTTCTGTTCAGTTAATATTAGTTGAAAATTTTGAATTTATTTGCCCTGTGAATCTTTGTGGTGTTAAGAGCACTGAACAAATATGCAGGGGAACCAGAGAGTAGGAAAAACCCAGATTGCAGAGTGGGTCTGATGCTGTAGCATCCTGTGAAAGCAACTAGAACCCACTGACTGGATCCCTCAGCCACACCTCTATCTCTATGATGGAATGCCCAAAGCCTTTCCCCAACACATATTGTGATAGAAGGTCCACCCACAGAACTGAGTTGCTGCAGTACCAATGTATCCTCAGCCCTGATAGAGATAGAGACAGGGTAAGCCCATTAGTGGAATCCTGTAGCTATAATTTTTGAAGAGTTTAAATAACTTCTGGAAATAGCAGATTCAGCTTTCTCCACCAATTCTCTCCTTTTCAGCAGAGCATTTCAGAAGAAGATTGAAACTTTTAGAACTGATACTGTACATATGATAATGATTCTGCTGAATAGTAACAGGTTTGTAGAGATCAGTGGGTTGAATCTCTGTATCCTGACTGGGATATTGCAGTGTACAGGTTGGATGGAGATGTGAAAGGATCAGGCAGATGGTCCCATGGGAAGGATCAGGAGTCTCAAACACAGGTAACCTGGTAGTTGCCAGACTTAAGCTACTACCCCACCAATTGCTTATACCAGCAGAGAGTGTGTGCTAGTGCACCAAAGCTCACTAGAGATACCATGCACCAAGTTACCTATTGTAGGAAACTTCTGATGGCTCAGATTTGTTATTTAAGCCAGAAAGAAGCACAGGAAGTTGTTTTAGGTGAATCTCTGGCTGGCTGCTACACTGAATAATGTCTTCTTGCCTGACTCTTGAGCCCTGCCTTGTTCCTGATTCTTGCCTTCCTGTCCTGTTCCCAGTTCATGTCCTCTAGCCTTGTTACAGTCAGATCCTCGCTTCTTCACTCCTCCCCTGACTACTGGCTCTGGCTCTGACCTAGACTTGACTCCTGATTTTCTCTTTTTCTGACATCTGGCCCCTGGCTCCTGACCACCACTGTTCTGACTACTAGGTATAGCTGTCTACGTCCCAGTCTATGACATCCTTCTGGCTTCTCTGACTGGATAAGATATAATTTCCCAGGTTGTGTGCTGTTGGGTCAGTCTCAGTTTGATTGAGAGGGCTCATGTACATAGTGTAGATAAAAATATGTGCATGATGTCAATAAACAAATCATACCACATTTGATTCGGAGACATTAGTTTCTCATCAAAGACCAACTGCAGGGTTCCAAAATCAACTGCCGCTCAGCTTAGGAGTAGCACTGTGTTCTAAGCATTGGCATTGATTAATGGTGTAGAAATTCTTCATTTGGGAGCGGAAAGATAAGGGTGCACTAGAGAAACCTTGTAAAAGCTGCAGCAGAATACAAGTAAAAAAGGTACTGCACAGTTATAGACTGCCACAGTTAACAAAGTGACATGAAAATTGCCAGGCTGATACATTGTGTAATTTGTGACTAGCACCTGTGTTTTTAGCCTTGAAAAGAGTTCCCGTGTTTGGTTGTTATATCTCTATAGGAGCCTTCTTCTTCTGTCAACAACTGTTATTGTGGATTTAATGATCTCGAAGAATCTGAAATTCAGTCATCATTCACCTTACAGAGACGTAAATAATAGTTGGATGAATGGGAGTTGGACTGTAGACCCACATAACACTGTAGAGAGGTCACCATTTCTCAAAGACTTTCTCCATCTGAAAAGACTCCACATTACTTTAAGTGCTTTATCTGAAATGTCTAATTTATATAATTTTATACCTGAAAATGGGAATTATGTCCACAAAAACTGTACTTGTGTTAACTGACTTAAGCACTTAATTTGATACAGTGTCATTTTTAGGAATTCATACACATTTGTTCCACAAAAACTTTCCCTTCCATCCACTTAAAGACAGCATAAGACTGCAGTATGAATCTCCACAACTTTCTCTATAGTGAAGTGGGAAATCTATAGCAATTTGACCTTTGTTACTTCACAAATGACAGAGCTATTTTGAGACTGACAGTTTTTCCTTGATTATTGAAATCCATTATCCCAGTGTGTTCATTCTTATTGTGCTGTTACACATCCAGGGTTCTATGGAGGCTTTCAGACAAGTAGATGTGTGTTCCAGAACAGTTTCTCAGAAGGCAAAAGTTGCCAAGTACAGGTGGTGGTGCACAGCTTTCTTAACAAAATTGTGAGTCCATGATTTTTCTTAAGCATTCCTACTTTCAAAAAGTGTTATGTTTTACTCAAAGAAAATCAGTAACGTCCTGAGGCCCCCGGTGCTTTCATAATGAAAACCATAAAAATATAATACAAGTGGATAAAGACTCAGAATAAATGGTAACGGTGTAACTTAAACCTTGTCTATATGTGTATATTTTCAACAACTTGTTTATCCCGTTCAATAAAAGAAAGGAGTATATGTAAAATTAAGTGCACATATATGCAGTGCATAATCCTGTGTTACCTGACAACTGTATTGTTTATATTATTTTTAACAGAATCATGAGCCACGCTTTCTGTCCAGAGTGCTAAACCTTCCATCTAGGGTTTTTGGTATTTTTTGGAACTCAGTCTGAAATCTCCTTGTCTTTGGCCTCACTACTGTACTTTTTTACTCTTGAGTCCATTCAAAAAGTTACTGACAAAATCATCTGACTTGTTGCTTCAAATCTGTTACCGTCCTCTTTGAGACCCTCCACTTGTTCCTTTTCTCCATTGTATCAAATATAAGTAAAAACTGAGCATCTTCACCTTTAAGCATTTTACAACTGAGTTGCACTCTACCAGTCAGACTCATCAATTAATGCATCATTAACCACTATCTTCATTCCAGCCTTAAGGCATTCATATCCTCTCACAAGCAACCCTGTGCTTTCTTCAATGAGTTATAAACATCTATCCAAAATTTGTAAAGTGATATTTTGATTTTAATAAATCCTTTCTTTATCCTGACTCCTGCTGTGATATGTATAGATCACTGTGTTAATTGCTAGGCAGGTTGTGAGTTACATTTTTTACACACCTAATCTATATGCAATGTGTTCATACAATTGTTAACTCAGTTTTCCTCTTCCCACTCATTCTTGTTTCATCCACCTCTTCTGTCATGTCATTAACTTAGATTGTGAGCTAATTATAATATGTGGTTTCTTTTTAAATACATATTTGTACAGTGTGTCTTTACTGTGAGTTTGGACTCAGAAATTAAATGAATTACACTCAAATGTAGCTCACCAATTCTATATCACAGTTATCCTTTTATGTCCATGTTTAACTGATGGTGTATCACTAATTAGCAGATATTACCCCGTACTATTTTATTTTATGTGATGACTTCTAAATAGGTCCACAAACCTGATTTAAGGAAAACCTATAGTACATTCATGGTATAATATCCACTTTAGTCACTGGCCAACATGTGCAACTTGGATGCCTTATGTTGGCCACCAAAATATGAATTTAGGCCCTGACTTTAAAATGCATTCTACATGAGCGGAAGCCTTCACTTCTATGGAATCTCTTGACTTTAAGTGGGGTTACATACAAGTGCAAAGATCACCTCATTCACAATGCACTGACAGATTTGAGGTCTTATATTTGCAAATACATTGTTAAGTTAGTTCTCTAAACTGTTGTGTTGAAAACTGTTGTACACTTGAGTTGCAAGACAGTGTAGTCTGAAAATCAGTATTTTTCAACTGTTCAGCTGCTTGGCACCCACATACCAGTTAATCTTCTCACATTAAAATATAGTCCTCAGGAGAGGAATATTTTGCCCCTCACTGTAATAAACTGCATGTTTAATTAAAATGATTTCATTAGAGTGATTTCCTGTAATTATCATCTCATGAATAGTGTCTTTTCAGCATAAGTGAACTGAGTGCTATAATGAGGATAGAGTGTGAGCTGTCCAGTTACATGGCCAACTAGAGCCAGCTTTGGCAGTCTGGACGGGGAGAAAAATCTGTGTTTCGTTTCCCATTCATAGAACAGTGTCCAGAAAATAAGCAATTTCAGGCACTGATTTCCATGTTGGCATCCAGTTTTTGTATGGCATGGTAAATATAATTAAGAAGTCAATATTTCAACAACCTAATTGCTATGTCTTTCTGTTCTTCTCTATGGATGATTGGTTTGAGAGTTTAATGATGAATTGGACAGAAAAGATACATCAGTTGGGTTAGTCAGTTAATTCCAGGATTCTGTGCCTGGAGAAGTGAGTAAGTGGCAGAGATCACCTGGAAAGGGGAGCGAGCCATGGGGTTATACTTGCTTCAGTGGAAACCTGCTAAAATCTCTAATTTACTCTAAAAAATTAATGTAATGCCAAGGGTGAGTTTTCTTTATCTTTCCCTCTGTCCCCATCTATATACTGCATCAATATAAAAATGCCAACTGCATTTCTGTGCGTCACTAAGATATTGGGTTACGTTACTTAAAAGTTACAAAGACATGAGAGCTATACAGGTCATCTGAAATAAGTGTAGATAAAATCTATGCTGTAGAACCTCCAAGTTATGCACTGATCAGTCTTGTACACACCTCATTTGGAACCAGAAATAGGCAATCAGGCAGCAGCAGAAATAAACAAACAAAAGCAAATACAGTATGTTTTTAAAAAAGCAAATACAGTACTATGTTAAACTACTAAAAAATAAAGGGAATTTTAAAAAAAGGCAAGGTAAGGAAACTGTTTCTGTGCTTCTTTCATTTAAATTAAGATAGCTAAAATCAGCATTTTTCTTCTGCATAGCACAGTTTCAAAGCTGTATTAAGTCAATATTCAGTTGTAAACTAAAGAACAACGATAATGTTCTATGCAAAGTTATGGACAATTTCTGTTCCTGTAACTTCGAGGTTCTACTGCGTGTGCCTTATACTAAATTGTAAGGAAAAGTAGTTTTAGAGAGTATTTTTGAGTTTTAACATGTTTGTTGGTTCAGTATTCTTTTATTATCCCTCCACCTGTAAAACCATCCTGTTTATTTACCATGAATGTACGGATCTCAGAATACCTTGAGTGTACCGGTTTTAGAGATCTGATTTCTCTAGGGTTAAGTCATGTAATGGATATTTGCCCAGAGTAGTTAACAATATGCTTGCAATATGATTTGCATGTATGTTGTACTGTGGTAAAAAGCATATTATTGGCATATAAACAGTCCTGTTTGTATATGTTTAGTCTTTATCAACTATCTTTTATGCAGTTTTTAAAATTCCATTATATAATCAACATAATGAATTTTCCTTGGTTGTATTTTTATACAATGGTGGCATAAGTGAGCATAGAGAATAAAAAGGGCTGAAAAATACAAATGTACATTTTTTTTAAAATGTAGATCTACTATAAATTAAACATTTTCTATTTTATGTATAAGTGGCTATTATATGTAAAGCAATGGCAATTGGACAATTTTATGATCAAGATAAGAATAATAGGTGTGATTCTTGTATACAGGAAGGCTCATTTTACTGTTCTGACAGTGTACAGAGGCTTTTAAATAAGTGTAAATTTAATTCCACTTTAAGACCATTTTATACTGTCACAATGGTGTTAAGGGGACATTGTATAAAAAAGAATCAGGTCTAATATTTTCTGTCAAAAAATTTAAAAATCTATTCTGTGAATTGGAGGCTATAGGTGCAAGTAACACGCTAACTGACTAAAGAAATTTTGATAGACTATATTTATACCTTCCTTCAAGCTATGTTAGCAAATCCATCCAATTCTTTATTTACAATGATGACTGTTACTGTGTTTGAGTGAAACCATATGGGAACCATATGGGAACTATTATTATCCATTAGTGAAGGATTGAAAATTGTATTTGTAGTTAATGGGTTATATGTATACTTCATTTATCCAAAGCCAGAAGAAACATTATGTGAAGTTCATGGTATAACTATTAAGGTTCACTGTTTCGAGATGTTAAAATACATCAGTAAATTATATATTTATTTATATTTGTGTATTTGTAGGGCAGTTATAAAGCAAAACTGAAGATTAAATCTGGGCATTAACACTTAGGACATGTACAATTTCTTCTTAGCATTGTTCTGCCATCATTTATTTGCAGAACTAATGGATGATTGCAGAATTGGGCCCTTAACAATAAACAAGTGTATGATATTTGTGTCTTCCTGCCTGTGTTTTCATGTGTAAGAGTTCTAAATTACATACTTGATGACTTGTTGAGTATGGGTAGGATATTTTTTTAATGAGTGAACAAAACATTGTTTGGATTTCATGCTTAGAAAAAGAATAAGCTTTACCACCAGCATAAATGATGTGATTAAAAAAAAAGAGCTGCTACAAGTATGAATCATTGAACATAGGCATTCTTAGATCATTAAGCTACAGCTATTTTTAAGTTTTGGTTTAGTTTATTTTGGTTTGGGTCCAGGAGTGTGTATAGCTACTGTTTAGGTGTCCCAAAGTAGATTAAGAAAAAGCTTTTTTAAATCACATACCTCTGGTAAAAATCCCTTTTTAAATTGGACAAATGCAGAATTTTAGAGCCATAAATCCCCCATTCTTTCCTTGAACTGATTCAAATGTTCCCCATTCTTTTTTAGAAAATATTACAGCATTTAAAAATAAAGAATAAATGTTTTTTTAATCCAATTAGATTTAGTGAATAAAAAGAAAAAATCAACATTTTGGATACAGGTGATTTTTACTTTCCAGTTTTTATTAAATGAAGTATGTCTTTTTTATATCACAAGTCACAAAGATTAAGTATCATAAAACTGAAACACAATTATACATTGTGTAGTTTATTTAAATTAAACAATTATATTTATTATTTTGCAGATTAAATTTTTTCCGAGATGTTCCTGACTTCCGGGTGCTGGCATGTGGTGGAGATGGAACAGTGGGTTGGATTTTGGATTGTATAGGTAATGAGAAGTATTATTTCTACATACTCTTGAGCTGTTAGATTTTGGAAGTCCCTTTAGAAGACTAGTCTATCTCATTTATCATCTTATGGAACCAGCAATTTCAAAAAACTTTTGTCACTTAAAATGGTGATGATGAGACTCTTCAAAGCATGAAATTCATTACTATTTAAAAGTTATTGTAATTGAAAATAATTAAGGACATCTAAAATACCTGTGTTCCATCTGATATTACTTGGGCTATCTTCAGACTAAGGATGTTAGCATTTGTTTATTTTTTTACTTCCATCTCCTTTCTTCAAACTGAATCTAACATGAGCCGTTTCCAAAGTTTAGACCAGTTCTTGCAAGTTCCCTCTCCTTATCTTCACTTTCTCTATTTTCTTGTATTCTCTCTGTGACCTGCCAAGTACTTTTGATGGGAGTTGGTTCATGGCAGAAGTCTCTGTGTAGTGCCTCAGGTTGGCTAGGTGCTTTATTTAAAACTTTGGATTGATACGAGGGGGCTGCACGTGTTGCTTGCTACACTTAGCAGCCCCAGCTCTCCGCGCAGCCACCAGGGAGGGCCAGGCTGAGGCATGACAGCCCTGGGAGCAGGGCCAAGGCTAGGCCAGCCCCAGCTCTCTTCCCCTCCCCATCCACCAGCCATTCGTTCAGTCAAGCTCACTGGTACCAGGAAAAGATTATGAAGCCACAAGCTATGTATATGAAGTTTAGGAAACTATCTGATCTGGGATATATACATGCTCTTCAGTTCAAACTTTTTCCTCTCTCAGCCTCTCCCCCCATCTCTACTGTCCCCAGTATAAAAAAGTAGAACCATAATTTGGATCAAAGCAAGAGAAAATCCCAAATCTTTATCTGTGCTATTTGAGACTTCTGTACTGTACTTTTATTTTTTTCTAAAAATCTTGAAGTCTTAAAATCTACTTGTAAATACCAAAACCTCCACAAGCTTTCTGCAAAGATGACAGATGATAAATTGGTAAAATAATACTGTGGTCCCCTCAGATCTACTGGATGTGTGAACTTCTGGTGAAAATTATTGATAGTGTGCACTTCAACTGGTGTAATAAAATAGCTGATAGTTTATTTTATTCAAATATCAATTTAGGATTAATAGTGTTGTTCATTACTACTAAATACGTTTTGTGCACTTTCATTTGAAATGATGTGTCATTGTAGTAATTACGCACTTGAAATATGTATATCTCAAATATTCTTTCTGGGTGAAATTTACTCCATTTCCAAGGGCCACAAAAGGCTGTTCGCCCTGTGATTAACCTCAGTTGGTTGGCATAAGGGAGAAGGGTGTGACTGGATCATGAAACTTTGTTTGGATTAGGCAGGGCTATCGGACCTATGCTTATTCCTTACGGACCCAATAAGAGGGGTATATATGGATTCAAAAGCTGCTTATGTTCCAGCCTAGAGATACTGGTTTTCATATGTAAAGGTCTCAACATTTTAGTTCCAGGCTGACTTGTGTCTACACCACAAAGTTATTTCAGAATAATGGCCCTTATTCCGAAATAACTATGTGAGTGTCTACACAGCAATTCTATTATTTTGAAATAATTTCAAAATAACGGATGGCTTATTCTGACTTTGGTAAACCTCATTCCACGAAGAATAATGCCTATTCTGAAATAGCTATTTCAAAATAAGGCATGTGTAGATGCTCCACTTCTGCTATTTTGAAATAGCTCCTCACCAGGGCCATTCTAAGTTATTCCTCCTGGGGCTCTAAATCAAGAAAGCAGATCTACATTAAGGAAGCTTGCCTTGGACTAATTTTGAGGCTTCCTTGCAGTGTAGATGTGAAATTTTGAAATAAGCTATTTTGGAATAACTATTCCGGAATAGCTTATTCCGAAATAACTGTGCAGTGTATATGTAGCCTTAGAGACCTGATCACCCACCTCTGACTTATCAGATAATTCCAAAGCATCCTGAAGCCAGCACCCAATAGCTTGGAAAATCAGATTCCAAAATTTAGGATGAGCCCTAATTATCTGAAAAAACAACGAATAGTCTGGTAGCACTTTATAGACTAACAAAACATGTAGCTGGTATCAAGAGCTTTCGTGGGCACAGCTACATGTTTTGTTAGTCTATAAAGTGCTACCAGACTATTCGTTGTTTTTTCAGATAATTAGGGCTCATCCTAAATTTTGGAATCTGATTTTCCAAGCTATTGGGTGCTGGCTTCAGGATGCTTTGGGTGGTATATCCTCAAATGGATATTACTATGTGTGGAAATACAATTAAACATAAACGTGGCCACTGTAAGAAAAATCTATAAGACTCAATTATTTGCCCAGGTCTTCTCAACTGATTAAATTCTGCTTCTTGGCCAAGTGTTAAAGCTGAAAGCAAAAGGAAACATGGTGTTCAGTCTTACTGAGCATTTGAATACCTCTGTTTTAAACCAGATACCATGCTCATGGGTGCTAAAAATCCCTGGAATAGTAGTAGTATGAGTAGTAAAAATAATAATGTATTAATAGACTGGAATAGTGGACTTTATGGAGGGGCTGCACATAAGCCAATAAAATGTCTGTTTGGGATGGTAGGGTACAGCTTCCTTTACAAAGCATGTTTCACTGAACTTTAAATCAAAATCTAAGTCAGTTACCTTATCCATAACTTTAAGTATTACATGTACAACATAAGTTTTGCTTATCAGTTTTTTGTGTCTTTAATTATGTGTTTTTCTTTCTTCACAGAGAAAGCAAATTTGCTTAAACATCCTCCAGTTGCTATTTTGCCTCTTGGGACTGGCAATGATTTAGCAAGGTGTCTGAGATGGGGAGGAGGTAAACACAAGTTAAAATATGTTGCATTATGTTACAAAAGAAACAGACTTTGCTGACAAAATGTACTTGTGACATTGACAACGAGAAATCAATTTTATTTCTTTTGACTCTTAGAATGAATTAGGAAAGTAAACTATGGAGTAAAACTAGATTTTGGTCTCTAAATGGCACATAAAAATTCCTTATAGATAGTAAGGTCCATGGTCTATTATTTTGTGATTAACTTCCATTGATATCAATGGAGGGGAGTACAATATGATCAGGAATGTTTAAAATTGTCTGACTTTTTTATTGTCTTTATTGCAATTATTCACATGATGAGTACATTGTATAGTAGTAAGCTTAAATTTGGGGAGAGGGGTTACTGCAAATGCCTAATAGTTCATTGTTTTTCAAAATTTCAGTAGTTCATTGTTTTTATATGACTGTTGTTTGTTGTTTATTGCCTCTTCTCTCATCCCGCAGAAGTTTCCAGACAATCAATGTTGGTACCAGGAAGCAAGGAGGCAAAGAATAGTGAAAGCTAAAGCACATGTAAAGTCAGACCTTTAATGTCCTTTGCCTCTTTCTCCTGGAAGCATGGATCCTCCTCTCAGCATTTTTGATAACTGCCTTCCATCCATGGCAGAATGAAAAGAGAAGAGAAAGCACAACCTGAAAAAGAAGGAAAAGAATGGGAAGGGGTCAGCCAAGACTAAGCATCCACATGATGGCTGTATACCAGTTGCACATGCTCACATCAAAAAGAATATCAGAAAGACTCCCTTCATGGAATCCAGCTGTGCAAGCTTTCTCTCACTAGGGAATTAATCACTCTACCTCTTAAGATTCCTTGTTGTCTCTAGACCCAGAGATTTGATTCCAATCTGCTGATGTCCACTTCAGCCCTGAATCATTTTAGCCTGAACGCTGCCCTTCTTTCTGGTGCTCCTTTAGTTTCTGCTACCCTTTCTTTCTGTTTCTTCTCTCCTTATGCTTAAAATGTAAGTAATTTACTGGGACTATTTTATCTTCCCCCTCTTCTCTATCCTTCATTGGTTCCTGTTTACAGATCTTTGTATCCCCATTCCAGGGTGGGTAATAAATAAGTAGCTTGATTTTCAGATATGCTGAGTTCCTACAGCTTCCAGTGGGTCTGATGCATCTCAGCTCTTGTCTTATAGAGCAAAATAATTTAGATTTGGCAAGGTTAGTTGCCTTCATCTCCTCAGGGGCTGCAGCTCAGATTCAATTTTCCTTCCATCTTACTAATTGCACGTGTTCTTTCTGCATTCTTGCTTTCTCACCAGTATGAGGAGGAGTTTAAAACTCTATATCCCAGATCCACAGAAAAATTAGACACCTAAGTAGTAGGTGCCTACGCCCAGTTTTTACACACAGCTGAGATCCACACAACTCCTGCTTGGCTGACACCTTTTTAATTTCCTCTCTGATACCTTTTCAATGCATGACAATTAGAGCTCTGCACAAATACAAAATTGGTATCCACATATTCAAAAAAGATCTGTAGAAATCTGCTAAATACCTGGAGATATTAAGTGGATATCTGCAAATTTGCAGGGTTCATCTAGTCCCATGAACCAAGGGATAGGTCTTTGACATCCATCCAGTTTTTTACTAACATCAGTTATTGATCTTATTTATAAAGATGAGGAAGACTTACTTGTGTCAGCGAAAGCCTACTTTGCTTAGGATATATTTCTTTCTCCTTTGTCAAAAAGGCTAACTTAAGTTCAGTGGAAATCTGCAAAGCCATTACATGGTTCTTGCCTTCCACTTTCAACTCAGATACTTATCACATAGGGTGAGTGCCTTCTACTAGGAGGACATTAACAGCAGAGGCAAATATAACTTGTAAAGCTCCCTAAACCAGCCTCCTCTAACGCATCAGTTTGCTATATAGCAGGGTTTCCCAACCTATGGGTCGGGACCCAAATATGGGTCACCATTACATTTCAAGAATGTCACCAGGAGTCTCCCCAGGTGGCTCTTAAGGAGCCATTCACACATTTTTTGAATTGCCCTGGGTCACCAAGTCTTCCTGAATTGTCAAAATGGGTCCCCATCTGGAAAAGTTTGGGAACTGCTGCTATATAGGGTGATTGTCTGGAATCTTCTGCAAGATGGAAGAAGATGGGGACAAATAACAATGGAAAATTACTCACCTGTAATTCAATTTGTCAGGGTCCCTCCTCTTCTCCCATCCAGCAACTTTCTCTCTTTCCCCTTTGTTTTGAGTTATGCCACCTGGAATGAGAGATAACAGTTTGAAATTTACTAATCAAATAGTAGGAAGAATCAGTGCTCACATTTTTTTCTTTCACTATTATTTGCCTCCTTGGTAAACAGCATCATAACACTGATTTTCTGGAACCATCCATAGGATGGGAGAAAAAATGAGACTTCTGCAAACTGAATTGCTGGTGAGTGATTTTGCCTTTTCAAAAATGCAGACTTCTGGCATGAAGTATAAATAGTGAAACAAGTGACTATGGAACTTGGAGAATCATATGGACTAAAGATAGGGTTGTGGAGACTGGCAATATCTAGCTTTATTCATTCCATATTAATAGTAAAAATATTTCATGCCACTACATAGAAGTATAGATCACTAATGTAACTGTACGGATTTGAATGGCTTTTGACACACACATTCCAAATGCAACAATCCATAGATTGCTATATTCAATAGCAATCAATAGATTGCACCAATCAGTAGTGTGGTTACCTCTGATCATGTCAACTATTATCTACAGATTTAAAGGAGTCCCAGAGCTGATGTATTTGCAGAACTAAAAAGAACGGTTGATAATGGTCACCTTCTTCTATAACTTTAACAGGAAGTTGACTCATTTTATGAGAGTGGATATGTATTGTCACTAGTGGTGACCTAGAATACACATTTGCTTTTGTATGTGCACTTAACCTTCCTTTGGAGAAGGAATAAAGCCATAGATGCAGGGTTGCTGCTGAACAACTATTTTGTCTAAATAGCATGTGAAGTTGTTCAGTGCAATCGCCTTTTCCTGGGATGTCACTTGATGAGACTCAGCAGGTGGTAATCAAATCCATTTTTAACCAATACAATGTATTGTGTAGTCCATACTCTAATCGAGGGCCTAATTACTTACCGGAAGTACCAGGTGAGTAGTCTGCTCATAGGAGTAGATATCTATATACTACCACAGGATCAGTTGTAGGCTGTGTGAACATTGGTAAGGTGAAAGGAGGATGCATAAAACAAAAGTGAATACACCATACTTCATTTATTATACTAACACCACAATTTATTAAGGTTATGGTAAGTAACTCTATTTTCAAGAAAAATCACTGTGATACTTTCTGTTTAGAAACACATATTTCCATTGTTAAGGAAGGGACTTGTATTGTTGCTGTCAGAAGCTGAGCATACCAACAGCAAAGTAATTCTTCAGTCTGAAAAGTTCATCCAAAAGTTATCAAAATATGGAAGTCCAGTTACTCTGCTGATCACGGTCCTTCTCCATTAGGGATGGCTTCCATGCATTTGGTGGTGTTACCATGAATCTCTTTGGAAATATTGACAAATGACATATACATATGAACAGACCTTTTAGTGACAGCTTTTAACTCCTCAACATACTGCCATAATTTCTTTGGGCTCTGCCTATGCTCCATCAACCTCTGTATGTATACTTATGCCCCACTGCTATATACATCCGCCAAACAGGACAGTCCCTACGTAAAAGAATCAATGGACACAAATCTGATATTAGGAATGGCAACATACAAAAACCTGTAGGGGAACACTTCAATCTTCCTGGACACACAATTGCAGATCTAAAAGTAGCCATCCTGCAGCAAAAAAACTTCAGGACCAGACTTCAAAGAGAAACTGCAGAGCTACAGTTCATCTTTAAGTTTGACACAATCAACTCTGGATTAAACAAAGACTGTGAATGGCTTGCTAACTACAAAAGCAGCTTCTGCTCTCTTGGAATTCACACCTCCAGATCAGCTGCTAGAAGTGGGCCTCATCCTCCTTGATTGGATCCACCTGGTCATCTCCAGCCTGATCCTGGCCTGCATATTTATTCCTGCCTCTGGAAATTTCCACTACATGCATCTGACGAAGTGGGTCTTTGCCCACGAAAGCTTATGCTCCTACACTTCAGTTAGTCTATAAGGTGCCACAGGACTCCTCGTCGCTTTTGGAAATGAACGTAATTTACAGGTTAATTGTCTCAGAGGGATAGCCTTTTTAGTCTGTATGAGTAGTCCTGTGGCACCTTAGAAACTAACGTGCGTGCGTGTGTGTATGTATACATAGCATTATGAGCTTTTGTGAGCAAAACCCACCTCTTCAGATGAGATGATCTTGAGACAGTATAGCATAAACATGTTACGAAGTTTAGCTTGAGGTTGTCTGTATATAATAATGTAACTGCTGGAAAATACAGACTAGTAGATCTAAACTGCTCTCAGCAATACTGAGTATAAATCTGAAGTCTACTGAAATCAGTGGAGTTATTTTAACGTTATATGGGCTGAATATAGAAAGTTAGCTCTGTATATGCATTTTCCTTAATTATAGTTACTGGAAGATTGCTAATGGAGCAAAATATAATTCTGTGCTCAGGTTTTATACATGTAGATAAAATATCCCAACAACTGGAATTTGAGAGGGTTGGAGGAAGATAAGATGAGTTTGTTACAGTTATTAAAAATCGTGTTCACCTTTTGATAGGATATGAAGGTGAGAATCTGATGAAGATCTTGAAAGACATTGAGAACAGCACAGAGATCCTCCTGGACAGATGGAAATTTGAAGTCATACCCAATGATAAAGATGAGAAAGGAGATCCAGTGCCTTATAGCATCATCAATAATTACTTTTCTATTGGAGTGGTAAGGAGTTTTGCTTAGCCTTAAGTGACATTTTTTTTTGTTCTGAATAAATATATGCATGCATGTCTCATAGTGAAGAATGACTGGATAGGGATAATTTATGATGTCATTTTGTTAGTGAAATGATTACACAGGTGAATGACAACAATTTACATAAATTTACTTGCATATTCAAACTGGAATTATTTTTCAGAATCTTCCACCCACGTACATATAGAGAAGATAATCATGTTGTTCTTACTGTTTTATGATCAGCTGCCGTACTAAATTAGGAGTGTCACTATAAAGACCCTGTAAATATAAAAGAAGACTAAGCATTATTAACACCTCTTAGTCACCTTATCTGTAAATATTCTCACATTCAAAATCATGTTAAAGAACAGTGTGTGTGGGGAAGGGGTTCATTAGTACTTTTTTAAAAAGTATGTGGTTTCTTCCCCTCCCTCTCTCCTTTACCCTCCAGTTCTGACATCAGATTATCAGGGTATTTTTTAGATAAACAGAATAACTATGATATCTTTTGGATTCAATCCCAGACGTGAATTGACAATCTTCCATTCTGGGAAGTATTTTATCCCATCTCTTCCTTTTTTCCCCACTATTATGGTCTGTTTCTGCTCCATGGGAATCAAAGGGAAGGAGGGGATACTTTGCCATTGACTTAATTGAAAGTAGGATTTAGTCCCTAGTTTTCTTGAATCTCTAGTAGGTGTATTGTTCTAAAATGTTTATTCTTAGTACATGGCACTGATAAGTTTGATTTTTCTTACATCTTCACAGTGGTTTAAATGAACATCAGTTCAGGTGGGAAAGTTACCTATTATTTGGAACAACTGACATGCAGCAGCTTCCCTGAGAAGTGACCCAGAATATTTGGCCATTCTTGCTTCAGAGGAACCCTGGATGGTCCTGCTCCAAAGTTTGCTGGGTCTCCAGCACAAGTTATAGGATACAGTCTGTTCCCCTTTTAGCATAGGGGGTTGTTGGTCTTCCATTTCTGTGAGGATGGAGGCTCTGCTAGCTACCAGACCCCTTCCAGTGAGCTCAGAAGCTCCACAATCTGCTCCTTTCCTGGGGTTGCCCACTACTGCAGAGCAGGGATACTTCAGCACAAAGCAACTCCTTAATCCCTTCCATTCTGGTGTAGTGTTTATATCCCCCCATCACAAAGATAGATTTTTGGAGCTGAGGGTTGAAGAACCCCTGGAAATGGGCTCTTCTAGGACTGAAGGAAGACACTGCTAGGGTAATAAGAGAGTTTCTCCTGTTGGCATAGTTAATCCATCTCCATAAGTGGCAGTAGCTATGATGATGGGAGGGCCTCTCTTATTGACATATGCTGTGTGCACTAATTGGTATAATGGTGTTGTTCAGAGGTCTGGATTTTTTTACACCCTGAGCAACATAATTATACCAATGTAAGATGTAGTATAGACTTGGCCTAAAGAGCTTCTGGAGCACTAGAGAAGCAAAGGTATGTGAAGGTGGCAAGGAACTGATGGGTGGGGAAGGAGAAAGGGTTGCAGAATTGGTACAAGTATAGATGGGCAATGTTGATATTCGGCTAGGGATCTGAAGGGACACAGCATTGATTTGGGCCGGGGAGTATCATTAATTTATATAGAGTTGGAGGATGGACAGATGTGAGACTGGTGGGGTGTCATGGAATTAATTAGTTCTCATTTTGGGATCTTGCAGAAGCTGAAATCTCTATACCATTAAGCAGCACTTCATACAGACTTTTGTAATTTGATCTCACTTGACTCTTTTAGTAAGAGCTCTTTTGCAAGGGCCAATATTACCTTATTCTGTAAATTTGGAAGAGTTTGTAGCACTGTAGATATACCACATTTGCTGGGGATGAGCAAGGGGAGTTCAGAAATCAGAAGACAGATTAAAAACACAGTATCATCTTTTTTAAAAAAAATCTTATGATTTGCAGGGTCTGAGTCAAGATTTTTGAACTTTTGGAATAGACACTTCTGCTTCCTCAAGGTGTATAGCAGTTGAAACACTAAAACTCCTGGTGACAGTAGTGTTTGGAATAGAGTCCTGAATGAGAATCCCCCAGCCAGTATCCAGTTTTGTGGAACCATCAAAAATAATTTTATATTCAATGATATCTCATTTATTCTGGAAACATTTTGAAATTGTAGAAGTGTGCAAGTAAACAAACAGGGTTTTCTTAGAGCAACAGAAATGACTGGAGCCCAAACAAGAATAAATATAGTGTATGTTCCAGAATGCATTTGGGTATCTCCAATTGACTTCAGTTGCACCTATTCATATTGCTTTATTTTATTTTGCATTTATGTATATTATGCTACTGAAGGAAATTTTGCTAAGATTTGTGCTACTATTAAGATTAGACTCTTACAGTGGAATTCCCAAAAGCACTGAAGCAGCCATCACGAATCATTGCATTCAGTGCCAGCTACTTTTCTTTTGTTGGAAAAAGAAGGAACAGGAGCCTCAGGAGTGGACGGAGGAAATGGACCACTTTATTGCCCATGCATATTTACCTTAGACATCCAACAAACTGTTCAGAGTGCAAAGATTTAGCAGCAGTTACACTCCTTCATTCATTTTAGTACCATATTTTCCAGCGTATAAGACGACTTTTGATGTTAAAAAACATCCCCCCAGAAATCGGGGGTCGTCTTATACGCCGGGTATACAGCTTTGCGGCTTTGCAAAGCCTCGGGGGAAGCCGGCGGCGGGGCAGCCCTGGCGCGCTGGGGCTGTCCCGCTCCCGGGGCGTCCTCAGAGGCTTTGCTCCCGGTGTCCCTGGTCTGCTGGAGACGGTCCCCAGCAGACCAGAGGCACCGGGAGCAAAGCCGAAGTGGCGGCGGGGTGCCGCGCTTCTGAG